GTTCTTCATTATTTTAATAAATTTTAAAAAATAAAATATTAATAAGTTATTTTTAAATTTATTTTTCATAACATAACCAAATACTGAAAAGTATTTTCCAACTTATTTTTCATTACATTACTAAATATTAAAAAATAATTTATTTTCTTGAAATTTATTTATTTTTAAAAATAGTAATTAAACAATACCTTAATTTAAAATTAAACATCAACTTTTCATCCGAATTTGATATAAAAGACAACGTAATAAATATAATTGTTTTTTGGCATGATGTCCAATAAGATTTATTAAATTCAAACAGAATTTTTTGAGAAATGTATGACCTACAATTTTAAAACTCTATCCAATAAATTGATCTGAATCCGATCTACGTAATCCTGGATTAAGTCAAATTAAAATAAAAACTAATTAGGAATTTGGCCCAGCAAAATTTAATAAACCCGGGTCAGTTCATGCATAATCCAATTCTTTTTTTCCTGTAAAAAACATGTGTTTTCAGATGCTGAATTAAAAGCCATTTATTGTTCTTAGCAACCACACCGATGGTAGAAAACCTAATCTCTCCTTCGTGCCCCAGTACCTTTTTAGCCCAGGACAAATCCTTCAACTGAAGCCATACCAGTTGCAAAGATCGCAGAAGGAACGCAGCAGGTTTAAGGCAAGCCATACCAGGTTTTGTTTCCGCTCTTTGTACATCTAAATCTCTCTTCACTATTTGAATATAATTCTCTGCCGCCTTTGTTTTTTCTTTTTCAAATGAATTATTTAGGGTGGCGAGTGAAATGCTTGTAAAGATGTATCAGACCACTTTTCATCTTTTCTTTTCTTTTTAATTTTTGAAACTATCATTTCAAAATTATACAAAAATATAAAAATTATTTAAAATTATTTTTTAAAATAATAATAAAAAATATGGTTATTGTTCATGGAAAGGGTTAAACCGACCCCGGTGTTTTAGTTTAATTTGTTTATTATAACTAGTCCCATCCTTTTGCTGTCCTGAAAAAAGCAAGAAGCTGTGACACCTCTGGCTCCAAAAAACCCAACCATTTTCTACCCCTCTTTTCCCATTCTGCTTTCTCACAATCCTGAATAAAAACCCAGTTATCCCAGTTGAAAGGCAAAAGGGAGTGTTTATTTTGACTGGAAAGATTGAAACTTTGGTTTTGTTGTTTGAGAGGGAGAGAGAGAAGATGGGTGATAAAAATGATGGCTTGGGCCTGAGTTTGAGCTTGGGATATGCTACACAACGGAATCATCATCAGCAGCCTTCTTTGAAGCTAAATCTCATGCCTTTGGCTTCACAAAACAAACATAAAAAACCTTCCTGGACTGACCTCTTTCAATCACCAGGTACCTGTTTTTGTTTCTTCTTGTTTTTGGGCTCTAAAAAAACAAGCTTTCAGTACTGTCTTTGATTCAGATCTGTGTTCTGGGTTAATTACAGGATTCCCATTATTATTTTTTTGCTATTGCAGATAGAACATGTGATACGAGGTTGTTTCAACGAGGGCTTGACATGAACAGAGTACCGGCTGCTGTGGCAGATTATGATGACGAAACTGGGGTTTCTTCTCCAAACAGCACACTATCCAGCTTCAGTGGTAAAAGAAGTGAAAGAAAACAGATCGGAGAAGAAACAGAAGCAGAGAGAGCCTCTTGCTCTCGCGGAAGTGATGATGAAGATGGTGGTGATGCTTCTAGGAAGAAGCTGAGACTGTCAAAGGAACAGTCGTCAGTGCTTGAAGAGAATTTCAAGGAACATAATACTCTCAATCCCGTGAGCAGTAGCCTTTGGGTTAATCTTTTTATTTTATTTTATTTTATGGTAGGATGGTTTTTAATTCTGGCTTTGGTGTCATTTGGTGAAGTACGTGGTGGTTTTGTGGTTGCAGAAGGAAAAGCTGGCTTTGGCAAAACAGTTGAATCTCAGGCCAAGGCAAGTGGAGGTGTGGTTTCAGAACAGAAGAGCAAGGTGAGATATTTCCCGACTTTGTCAGGGCTATATTTGGTATTTCAGGAGTACTGCGAATATCAAATGAGTTGATAAGGATATGATTTTCTTCTTATTTCAGAGAACATCTGTTGATGAGGGGAATGAATTTTAAAAAATAAAAAAAATATTATTTTAATATATTTTTAAATGAAATACATTTAAAAAATAATTGTTACAATATTATGGAAAAAATTGTTTCCTCCAATTTTGAATGATCTAGAATTTAATGCCACTTAGGATGGACTATTAATTAATTAATTATAATTGCATCCAGGTTTTACAACAACTGTTGTTCTTTGTAATAATGCATTACCGTATTCATGTGTCGTCTACACTATGAGCAGGCAAAGGAAATGGTGACTTCATCAGGACTACTAAAGTTTAGTATCCATACTTAGTGTTGAGTCAGTCTTCAATATGTACAAGTAGGGTGTTCGGTTGCCTGGTAAATGGATGTTTGCTTTTACATTTTGTTGTCTTCAGAATTAGCGTGATTAATTTAAATGGATTTTGAAATACTTTTATGCTGAGGAAAATGGAGTGAAAACTGAAAAGTGAACATTTCCTTGTACTCGAATTGATTCAGGACTAAGTTGAAGCAAACTGAAGTAGATTGCGAGTACCTAAAGAGGTTCTGTGAAAATCTAACAGAGGAGAACAGGAGGTTACTGAAGGAGGTGCAAGAGCTCAGAGCACTGAAACTCTCCCCACAGCTCTACATGCACATGAACCCTCCCACCACCCTCACCATGTGTCCTTCATGCAAGCGTGTTGTCTCCTCGGCATCATCATCTTCTGCTGCTGTCGTGTCCTCTGCTCTTGCTCCAATTGCCTCGAACCCCCAACCACAACGACCCGTGCCCATTAACCCTTGGGCAGCAACGCCTATCCACCATCGAACGTTTGATGCTCCCGCTTCCAGTTCATGATAGTTTGTTTGAAGTAGGGCTATTATTGTAAAAAGATAACATGGATGGAAGTAATTAGGATAAAATATCCAGAGAAACGTGAGAGAATGTGGAACAGAGAGGAGTGCGAAAGAAGACACAATCAGTGGTGATGGTTAGGATGCGATTTTGGCGAAGTCCAGTTAGCTAAGAGTGGACTAGTTGCACAATTTAGTGTTTGCAAGTGGTAGGATGGTGGAAGGGACGACATAGGAATCCGAATTCTTTATCTTCATACTTATTGTAGGATTGGAGGTGGACAAAGTGGGCTTATTATTGTAGGATTGGAGGTGGACAAAGTGGCTCTACTATTTTAAAGAGGATAGTGTTTTAGTGATTCTAGTGAAGGAATGATTGGTCATCCTATAAATTAACTAGAAATGCTTCTCTTCATCCTTAGATTATTGGTGGCTTTTGTATATGAATTGATGTCCACTAGCGTTGTGAAGGATATCAGGTTCTTCTTGTGATTCGTACGCATGTCTCCATGCCTTAATACACAAAGAATATAAGGATGGCTCATAGTAGAAGAATTTCATGTCTCATATCTCATGATCTCTTTTATCCACTGTAGTGTTACAATTAATTAATAGATATTAAACATGTCTGGCTTCGCTGCTCCCAAGCTTCCATGTCCATCCTTCTTTATTCGACCTGCAATTCATCTTTTTAAGTGTCAAGTGTGTCAGCACGTTCCTTGTCCACAATACTATAGCGTATGGCAGCTGAATCTTCATAAAATGGTACGTTTCTTTTCTGCCTATGAAATCATTGTTGAATTTTACATGTCTGGTACCAATTTTTTTTTTTTTTTTTTTAATGAGGAACTCAAGTTCACATCCTTCAGGTGAGGATTAGATAATCCAGACAGACGTGTAGCCAACTCGATGTGATTGTCAGTGAAAACAGGACCTATGAGACTAGCTGGTAATTCATAAAGATCGACGAAGGGGTTTTTTGCACATTGTTGGGGGTGGAGTTTGAAACATGATCTCACAAGTTCTTATCATATCCGTCAAACATGATCTCATGAACCACCGGCCTAATGGGTTGAGACCCTCGTAGGAAGAGAAATTAAGAGTTTAGCCGCCCTTTCAGCTGTTCAGGCCTTTAGCAAACCATAACGCATTAATTGAAAAGGCTTCCTTCCAAGAACTAAACGTTCTCTCTTCACAAAAATATATATATAAAAAAAAAGAAATCTGAATTTGATGGGTGATGTGTGTTGGTCCATGGACACTAAGCATTTATTGATACGTCTAAAAATGCAGGAAAGATACATGAAAATCCACAAGGCAAAAAAAATGACCGACCCTTTTATCTATACATGCAATTTAATTTCAGATCTTTTTTTACATTGGTTCACTGAAGAAGGTTCAGGAATCTATGTTTAATAGGTTGGCAGGTAGCTGGGCAGAAATTTAAGATTTGAGAAACAAAACAACAACCTGCTTGATTAAAAGTTGGTGTTAAAGTTGCAAGAATTTTGCATCAATGAGTTTGCTTTATCTATAATTTTAAATTTGAGTTTTTGATTGTTTATATGATGATTATTGGAGATTTATATAGTTATTAACTTTAAAATTTATGAAATTAATTGTAATATATTCAAACTGACCTAAACATTCATATTAATCTAAAAAAAATATAAAACAAGAAGATTTATATCTTTATCACGAGCTTCAAGGCAAGACAAAGGTTTTTGGAACAAAACCCTGATAGTTTCTACACATTATCATCCCTAGAAATTATATATGCTACTACCGTAGAAGTTTTCGCATTGATCTGCCCCTGATGCGGTCAAACGGTAACAGTGCCTTCTTCAGAACGTCATATTGAACCATAGCCAGCTTTGTCTGTGGCCCGATCTCTAATAGCATAGCCAGCTTTCTCTGTGGCTCGATCTCTAATAAAGAATTTCATACAGTGGTTGCGAATGCTTTTCCAAAGTAATCTTCAACGTGAAAAACCATCAAATCCATGCCTTGGGAATTAAGGGGAGTTCGCGCAGTACACAAAAAACAGAAATCCATGTTCAAAGGAACATCAGACCCCGTGCATGATTTACATATTCATATGATTATAAAGATAGTCTAACCCTTGTATTATTGGATTTTATTTATTAAATTTAATGTAGTTATTAGTCGACATTTTTATTTAATAGGCTATAAACACAATGTAGTTAAGGTTTTAATATTTATATTCTATTTTTTAAATATTAGACAGTTATTGATGAATTGAATAAAAATAACAAAATTTCAAACTTTTTCAACCTTTTCTTTTATTTTCCTTTTGGCTTCCACTTCTTGGTTCTTTTATTTTCTTTTAAATTTTTTTATCCCGCATCAATTACATTACCTTGACATGTGATCCAATTTCAGTTACTCTTACATTGATTCAGAGATGAAGTTACATTGATTCAGAGACGAAGGTACAGGAATCTTGTCTGATAGGTAAGTTAGCTGGCAGCTAATTTAAGACATATCTATACAATGACTTACTCGAATAAAAATGAAATAAGAAACCAGGTACCAAATCACAAGCTTCAAGGCAAGGTAAAGCTTTTGGAACATAAAACCCTGATGGTCCCTGCACACTATCATCGTTCAAAATTATATATGACAGATGAATAAATTTGAACATCTGGTGTACCCGATCCAGTCAAACGGTATAAATTTGAACTTTTGGTGTACACGATCCAGTCAAACGGTATTCACAGTGTCTGCAAGGGAACGCAATATGCAACCCATGCCAGCTTTCTCCGTCAATTTTTCATGTATCCGCAGGCACTGGTCGCATGTGGGCCGATCTCCAGTAGACAATCCCCTATACAAGTACCTGTGGAATATATGATATCACTGAATTAATGTTCTATTGCAGAACGTTTCACGAAAACAATGAGAACGACAAATGAATAGACCACATGAAATGCTAGATGGAGATTCGATTCACCCATTCCTTTTCGGGCATTTGGGTTGAGGGGTGTTGCTGTTAGTGCTCAACACAAGCCGGTAAGGATTTGATAATCCCACAGTCAACTATGTCCACATTACTGAGCATGTGATTATTAGTATTAAAGCTCAGCCAAGAACAAGATTGAAGCACGTCAGCTTCATATGTACCTTCGAAGTTCATGCTCAGCTTTTTTTTTCACATACAAGTAGGGATCCAAAATGTGCCAGGATGAAACAAATCCTTCTAGAGTAGACACCAGGGGCAACACAAATATGGTGCAATGTGTCACACAGAAAGCCAATTGTGGACATGTATAAAAGTGTCCTTGGACAAGAGAAATGGATGATCACATTTACGGAACGATAAGTAAAAATTTGCATTTATGATGTCTTCATGAAAAAAAAAAATATAAATAGCACTTTAACTGTTGTAGGCAAAATCAGTTCCATTCTATTTCTCCTGATGAAACAGCTGAGTAATATACCAAGAAGATACAACAGGGGGGGTTCTTACAAGGAGGCTTTGGAAGGAGAATCAGGATACCATTTTGTAAATGGCGAGAATCTTATCCTCAAGGTAATTAAGGTTTGATGAAATTGAAGAGAGTTCTCGACCATATTTTATATTTCAAAACAAGAAGTTTAAAGCTAGAAAACATAGAAGCTTTATGTTGAGGAACTGTTTACTAACGAACAGCAACATGCAGGTGAAATATTCCCCACAACCAATAAAGACTAGCCAAGGGCTTCGTTTAGATAAAAACCCACTGGCAATAATAATTAGTTTTCATGAATGATCACACCAACAGAAATATCTTAACTCTCTGCTGGCTTCGTTCTTGTAGCAGAAAAATGGGTAGCTGCTACAAATTCCAAGTGATTTCAAGTTTAGAGACGTTAATGCCAAGCTAGAAGTTTGAAATTGATAGAACATCAGTTCATGATTAAAAGATTACACCAAAAATAAGTTAAAAGTTGTGAAATGATGAAAAATCAATATATTTGGAGAGGAAGTGGTAAAATATCTAAACAGGCTGAAGGAACAATAAAGTTTAACCTTGAAATGAAGCCAGATTAAGCTAAGGAACGTTTGAGCAATGATTCAAAGCTTCCACTTAACAAAAAGCCTCAATAATAAATAATTATCAGTTATACTTTATAAAATGAAGATTGTCTTCACTTAACAAAAGGTCTCAAATACGAAATGAAGATTGCTCAAGGTCTTACTTGTCAAACATACATAAACAAATAATAAAAAATATTTTTTAAATATTTTAAAAGACCCAATTCATAATTTTGCCAAAGACTTTCATTTGAAGAATTCTTCTATGGATGAGAAAAGCCACAAAATTCAAAATACTACCGTTGCTTGATATAAGGTGGCTTCACTAAATCACGAAAAAGGGTCGACACCATCTTGAGTTCTTAAGAGGCTGCAACTATCTATTTGTTTTTCTAAAAAACAAAAAACTACGTTAAAGGACAAGGTTCTCTGATTCGTCACTGAAACAAAATTGAAAAGAAAAATGTCATTGACAATGAGTGAGTCCTCATACGACAGTAATATCACGCACGCATAACTTAAAAATTATGATCACTATTGAGGATACCCAAGAAATCGAATCGAACAAAACTAAACTACAACTCTCTAACTGTAAATGTAAATTCAGGTGATGGGAAAGTTAAATAAAATAAAACAAGAAATGAAAATAAGGAAGAGAAAGAGAAGGACTGACTTCATCAGAATATCATAGTACTCGGGATCCAAAGCAGAGAACAATGCATCCACATCTTTTATTGCCATTAGCGCTCTATGCACCAAGATCCAATTCGCTGACTACGCATATAAAAAATATATATAAAAATCAAAACTTCCCTTAATTTTTCCAAAAAAACAAAAAAAAAACAAAACCTTGCATCGTTCGTCTCGAGTCTTGGGAGGCGAGCCTTCTAGTACCGTTTTGAGAGCCTCGACAGGTCTACCCCTAAAAGAAACAAAGAATCACAAACAGAAACACCAAAATTGAGTTGCAAAATGATTGATAATTACTGACTGTTTGAGTAGGCTTTCGATCTTGCGAGATTTGTGTTCGATTCTTGTGATTATAGCCTCTGCCTCTGCATTCTCTTCTTTCACTGTTTCCCCTCTTCCTGCCATTCGCTCTCCTTGCAGTGAAACGATGGGGAAGTTAAAGCGTTTAGCTACGGCGGGTAGCGGTTGAGCCTTTGGCGCCGTGTTTCTCCTGTTTTCGATACAGCTTCGTGCTGCTTTGTGAATAAGGATCGTTCTTTATTGGGCTAAGGCTAGGGCCTGGTTCAAATCAATGCAGGCTAAGTTTCACCTCTTCTTTTCATGGGCCTAGGTTTCGTCACCCTTTTTTATAAATAAATGAACAAAAAAATTATTTTGTTATTTAATTTTAAGAACAACTTTTAGAAAAATAGATTTTTTTTTGTTTTATTAGGAGGCTTGTTGGAATTTAAAATATATAATGGATTAGTTATCTCTCGTTATATAATATCCAAATAAACTATAATTATTTGGGCTTAAACTTGTTTCAAAAAATGATTAAATTATATCTATTGATGCTGGAAAATATAATCTTTAAAACAATGATAGAAGAGCTAATCTTTTTTTTTAAATGAATTCAAATTTTTTTTAGAAAATAGAATCTTAATATAAAAGTAAATAATATAAAATCAAGTAAAGATGATAAAAGAGTTTTGAGAATAATGTTTGAAGAATAAAAAACAATAAACAAAAAAGACGTTGAGCGAAAAAACAATTAGAATTTAAAATATAGAATTATCAAATGAGATAATATCAATGACGTCCGAGTTTCCGTGTTTGACTTTCAATATTGAGACGCCTTTATTTTTTTAATATTTTTATTTGATATATTAATATTACAAACAATTTTTAAAAATAAATAAAAAATATTATTCACACTCTCAAACATGCGAATGGCCGTAATAAATGATTTCTCCTTTCCCGACTCCTGTTTTTTCCTTCCTTCCCTTCGAAGTTCAAAGTCTTCCTTCCTCCACCATCTCATTTCCCCATTCTCACACCCGCCAAACAGCAGAACCTAAAAAACCCCTTGTTTCTCCATTAATGGCAGATCCTGTCTCACATTCCAAGCCCCCTTCCCCACTCAAGGAGCTTGACAACTCAAAACCCATCACCAGAACCAATAAGTCATCATCTTTCACTAGTCACGTACTCTCTAAGTCTCTCTTTTTTGTTCTCTTTCTTTTTCTTATTCCACTATTTCCTTCACAAGCTCCTGACTTTATCAGCCAGTCTACTATTCTCACTAAATTTTGGGGCCTTGCTCACCCTCTTTTCATAGGCCTTGCTGTTTGTTGTGGCTTGTTTTGTCTTAGAAATGTTGAAGATTTTGACTCCGAACCACCTCCCCAGTACTCTGATGATTCACAATCATCTTATGTGTCTAGGATTTTTCACGTTTCTCCAATTTCTTATGATGGGTCTGAAAATTTGTCTGGGTTTGATGACAAACATGTATACCAAAATTGGAATTCACAGTATTATAGTGGTGAGTCTATGGTTAATGCCACTGATGGCCATGAACTGAACAAAACTGAATCGCAGTACTGTAGGGATGATGAGTCTACGGTTGATGATACTAACGGTAATGAACAAAACAAGGGTGGATCTTTAAATGCTGAAAATGGCTTTGAAAATTCATTTGAGAACGGTGATAGCGATGTGATTCAAGCTCGAAATTCTCAGTATTTTCAGAATGAATCGATGGTTGTAGGGTCTCAACCGAACTATTCACTTGATGAATATGGTAATCTAGGACAAGTAAATGGTTACAGGCCACTAGGGTTGCCAATTAGGAGTTTAAATTCGAGGATTAGGGTTCTGGATAGCTCTCTATTTAGTAATGAAAACGAGTCCGGTACAAGCTTCTCGGCCTCAGGCTCCACTGATGGTTCTGGAAGGAGTGCAAACGAGAATCATTTTGGTGATATGCCTCCTAAGAACTTGGAGGAGAGTTTTAATGAAACTGTAGCCTTACCTTCCGAAATACCATGGCATCCGAGATCTGAGAGGAAGGAAATTAGAGAGAAAGTAGGTTCTTTTGCTGGAGATTCTTCACATCTCAGGCCTCTCTCAGTCGATGAAACACAGTTCGAGTCTCTCAAATCGCAGTCTTTCAGGTCCACAACATCTTTGTCATTTCAAAGGGGTCCAGGTCCACAACATCTTTGTCCTTCACATTTTAGAGCTCTCTCAGTTGATGAAACTCAAATCGAGTCGCAATCTTTCAGGTCCACGACATCTTTTTCATCCCAAGGGAGCTCAGCCTCGTATTCACCAACCACTCTCTCACCCTCACACTCTATTTCTTCTGAATTGCCAAATTCTGAAACCGAAGAATTAGGGAAAAACAAGAGTTATAGTGCATCTTATCCTCCTGCTTCTCAATCACTAGCAACCAGGAAGGCTGATGCTCCACTGAATGCATTTCATTTGAGGAGATACAATGGTGGGTCTTTGTTCCAAAAGGATTCACGGAGAAGCTTAAAGGATGAATTGAAAGATTTGAAAGCGAAAAGGAATGAGCATACAGTGGGTAGTGGAGAGACCGGGCAGGGTTCTTTGAGATCAGATCAGAAACCTGCAGTACCTGTTAAAACTTCATCACTAAAGGGAAGATTTATTGGGACTATTAGAGCTAGTGGATATGCTGCAGAGACAATAAAAGCTAAGGATGTAGGTAGAAAACACATTGATGAGAAAGTTGGAAAAATTTGCGATGAAGCTCAAACAGTAAACGTGGGAAAGAATGAAATGAAAAGAGGACCTGATAGTATGTTACTTGGCTCTGATAAAAAGAACTCGGATACTCATCATCATATGCCAAAGCCAACCCTTTCAAAGCATATGAAGAAGGAAAAGGAAGTATTTTCAGAGAGTCTTACCGTGGAGTCCACAAAAGACTCAGAAAGTGGGACTGATAATTCTCGAGTGAGTTCAGATGAACATTCTGCGCCTGCCACTAACATTGATGCAGGAGATTACTCCAGCGAGGTTGATAAGAAAGCTGGTGAATTCATAGCCAAGTTCAGGGAGCAGATTAGGCTTCAGAAAGTTGCGTCTATTCAGAGATCAAAGGGAAAGCGCTTGAATGGTACTTATGTTAGGTGAAAGATAAGCCTATACTGCTCCTAGATAGCTATACTGCTCCTAGATAGCTAGGAACATGGAGACGAAGTTGATTATTATTCTTCTTTTTTTTTACTTGTTCAATCTTCAGTCATCTATTTTAGATTGTATCTAAACCTGCTATTTACTTGTTCAATCTTCAGTTATCTATTTTAGATTGTATCTAAACCTGCTATTGTAGATACTACATCCAGTTCTCGTGGAAGTGTGAAGTATGAGTATCCACCAACTTCGTCGCATAATTAAAGATTTTTTATCTTTCATAGAATTGTTAAACCGTCTAACTATTCTGCATTACTTTGACATCATAAACTAATATTATTGCCTTAATAAAATTAGTAAAAGCACGCCATCATCAATCTGCCTTTCTATTTGGTTTTGCGCTTTGAGAAATAGGGAGAATGATCTTTCAGTGCGATCCTCAACAGATGGCATTGTATCTGTTGCAGTAGCTGCATGTACATGTCGCAGTTATCTTGTAGAAACGATGACTCAAAAAGTTTTATAATCATCTAGTGTTGTTCAATCATGGAATGGATGAATGAGACCCCTTGAAGGTGTTCTGTGAAGTTAAAAAAACCAGAACCTTATTGGCATGTCTTGTGTGACTGGGGACTGTGTCACCTCACGACTTGAGGCTTATCCTGGGAGAATCTCAAGGAAAAGCTTTTGCAAGTTTTAAATTCACTCAAGGAAGTAATGTGATTTTTAATAATTTGCTGGATTCGTCCTCAACTGAGTAAAGCTATGGAGGCTGCTGGTGACAAAGCCTTCTGTTTTTGAAATATTTAAGAAACGTGATTCTTTATCTGTTAAAAGACGCGTTGGATGCTAATAAATAGTTTTCGGCATCTGTGTGATATTAAATTTCCGTAATGTCCTTCCTCAAGTTACTCATGACTAAAAATCTGCTGCTATGTCTATCAGTTAAAGGCTTGCTTGAGCAGTGTTTGGTATCGGAGTGGTTTGTCTTAAAACAATTCCTGCTGTTAATTAATAAATTAACCATGGCAGTGCTGAAGATTTGAACCTTGTTCAGGACATGGTCATCAAACACAATTACTCATCACTTCTGTTGCCGCAATTGCGCATAAAGCCCATTTAACGTCTCAACTAAAATAAGTAAAATGATGCGAGGATATTCCTTATCACCAAACCCCCCCAAAAAAAAAAAAAAAAAAAAAAAACACTAACACGACTCAATTTGTTCCCATCCTCGAGACTCAAAAGCTTGGTAGTTGGAGCGCGGTGAATAATATGACCCCGTGAGAAGCATATTCGTGCAGAGGATTCCTTGTCCCCTAACTACGTCCACTTGTCAGATAGTGATATAGATGGTGTGTGCGTGTCTAAAATGTAATTTGCTTAAAATATGAAAGAAAATTGTTTAAAATTATTTTTTTAGTTTTTTTTAATTATTTTAATGTATTGGTATTAAAAATAAAATTTTAAAAATAAAAAAATATTATTTTAAAAAATAATCATCATAATAGTAAGAAACCAGCTTTAAAGGGTGTTTTGTAATATAATAACAATTATTTTTAAAAGTATTTTTTATTTGTAAATATATCAAAATAATTTTTTATTTTTGATATTATTATAAAAAAACAATTTAAAAAACTAAAAAACATTTAACGAAAAACAAGTTACAATTTATTCTCAAACATGATTTAAAGTTGGTGAGTGGGGACAAAGTAAAAGGCAACAGCAGTACTGTTTTTTTGGCTTTTTAGTTTAAAACTTCCATGTTTTGACGTAAAATTTTGTTTTGTTCACAATTATGTTTCTAATATTATAAAAAACAAGAAAGAATTGCTGGAAAATAATGAAGGAAAGTGAAAACAGTCGGGTGACCAGTTTGATATCTAAAAATCAAATTTGATGTAAATGTATTTTCCTGGTGAGATGAGTGTCACTAAGTTATTCTTGCGCTTTTATATTGCTAAAAAGTGTAGAACAAGGCTGAGAGATTTTTTTTATTTAATTTTTGTGTTTTTAAACCTATTTATGAGTGTTTTTAGTCGAACAATTAGTATATTATGATTTTATTTATTAGATGTTTTTAAATAAAATAGATTAAAAAATTTATTTTTTGAATTAAAAAACCTAGTTTAATTTTCCAACTACCTTCCTAGTGATTAGAATCTCCATAAATAGATAAATAAATAATATATTATTTGCTATAATAAATATAAAAAGAGATTTGGTTTTAATCAATGTATAAATTGATCTGAAAGTATCCTCGATGATAAGTATTCTTGGTAATAGACTAAAAAAACATACCAAAACTTAAAGTTAAAAACAACCTTTTTATTTAAAACAAATAACATTTTTAACTAAACAAATGTAAGAATTTTATATGAGTTCATAGTTAAAAACAAGTTACATGAAATTATAAAAATTAAATTTTTAAATTTTTTTTTGCTGGAATATACCTTTTGTTTTCTTTAAAATATGTCTTTTTTTAAAAAAAAAAGAAGCTCTTTAATATAAAATATTTTATAATTATTCTTTAAACTTAGTTAATTTATTAAAAAATATTGATAACTTGTTAAATTATATAAAATATTTCATAGATAATAATCCATTTATAATATAATCCAATAATTTTAACCACCATTATTATTACTGTTATTATTAATTGTTGACTCTAACACTACCATCATTATCATCACTATATTTTAGGGTTGATTTGTTTTTAAAATTACACTAACTTTAAAAATTGTTTAAAAGTATGATAATGATTATTTTTTAAAGTGCTATTTACTTGAAAATATATTAAAATAATATATTTTTTATTTAAAAAAATTATTTCTATATCAATATATCAAACAATCTAAAAATATTTTTAAAATATTAATTTTAAATAAACCTCTAATTAAAATATAATTTCATGTCATTGTTGAATCTACAATCAACACTTTAACTAAGAGAGCATCATGTGTTTTTAAATTTTATTTTATTTAAAATAATTTTTTTATGTAATGAAACTTAATCATTGTCATTCTTGAATCTACAATCAACACTTTAACTAAGAGAGCATCATGTGTTTTTAAATTTTATTTTATTTAAAATAATTTTTTATGTTTTTAAATTAGTTTAATATATTGATATTTAAAATAATTTTTAATAAATAAAAAAAATAATATATTTTTAAATAAAAATACTTTAAATCATCATCTTCAACACAATTCCAATCGCATGATAACTCATTGTTTTAACACATCGTCTTGCTACCGCTTTCAGAATTTTTTTTTTTTTGAAGTAAAACGCTTCATGGTCCAACCATCAAATATTTTAGGACAAAAAAATCTCTCCCTCCACTAGCAGAAACTCTAGTTTACTAATAAGAATTGATAGAAAATAAAAATACTTTGCAATAAACTAGGAAATAATTACCTTTTAAGAATTAAACTCGATGAGTATATTACTTCTCAAGACATGAAAGAAGAGAGGCAAAAAAAGACCACGCCGTTTTAATGACTGCTCAAGACACGAAACGCTGTCGTCATTACGTAACCGTTTCCACTTTGAAACAGGCAAGTTCCAAATCCTTGCAGAAAACGGAGAGATGTAGCTCCGTACTGTGGTCTCCCCTGTTTTTTAAATTTTACTTTTTTTAAAAGAAATTAAATTAATATTTTTTAATTGTTTTAATATACTAATATTAAAATAAAAAAACTATTATTTTATTACCAAAAAAAAACACGACCACATTTTCAAACTTTCGGAAACACCAGGCAGGCTACTATCGCTTTCCAGTGTTTGTTGAGAAAAAAAGAAACCCACAAAAAAAAAAAGGAACTCCTCTTCCTAATTTGTTGCATGCCTCTCCTCCTTAAACCTCCAATCAACCATGAAATAATCCATTCAATTCCCAGCTTCTCCTTCTTGTTGTAGTTGTAATCCATAGGAGGTTATTTCTACTTGTTTCTTTTCCTTTTCTTTGAGGGTTATGTGAAGAAGATGTATATTGAGGAAATAAAGGAAGGAGATCAGTATGAGAATTCATGTAGAAGCGTTGTCGTTTTGGATGCAAAGAAAGTTTTGGTAGGGGCTGGAGCTCGTGCTCTGTTTTACCCTACTCTGTTGTACAATGTTCTGAGAAATAAAATTGAATCCGAGTTTCATTGGTGGGACAGAGTCGATCAGGTGTTTACTAATTATCTTCTTAGCTACTGATTTGTTTTGTGTTCATTAGTAATGTTTGTTGAAAGTAGGAATTAATATTTATTTATTTTTTGTAAAATTTTTTAAGTTGTTGTTGATGAATATAGACTTGCTACTTACTCACTGACTGTCTAAATTGTTTTTCAGTTTATATTGTTGGGAGCTGTTCCGTTTCCTACGGATGTTCGACGATTGAAAAAACTTGGGGTGTCTGGTGTGGTTACACTGAATGAATCATACGAGACTTTGGTTCCCACATCACTATATCATGTGAGTTTGGTTTCCATGTCGTGTTTTTCCAGATATGATAGTCTTGTTAATGTACAGGTGATTATCTTTAATTTAAAATCCATGCCCCCATTAAGGCTTTGCAATTATCTCTTTTTGACAAATTGGTTAGATAATCTAGGAGAAATTATTTACTTAAATGGCCAATACTGCCTTTAAAAGCCCACGTAAGTCACTGATTGTTGTTGCTTGAATGTGAAAAGGGGGAAAGAATCTGCCTGTTTTTTCCACGTGATTATGCTTGAGTGCTGATACACATTTATGTTCATTGTTGATATTTTTTTGTAGGCTCATGATATAGATCATTTGGTCATTCCGACGAGAGACTATCTGTTTGCCCCTTCATTTACTGATATATGCCAAGCTGTAGACTTCATACATAGTAAGTATGTTGTAAACGTTCATTCCCTGGTATTGCAGTTGTATTTTTAATAGATTTTTGCTTCCCCCTCCAGAGGGAGTCATTTATAATTTTATTTTTTTATATCAACTCTTTTTTTTGTTGAACTTTATGAAGAAAATGCCTCTCTTGGGAGGACAACATATGTTCACTGCAAGGCTGGTAGGGGGCGCAGTACAACCATTGTTCTCTGTTACCTAGTATGTATAAATTCAAATGTAACCTGTCGAGAAATTCAACTTACTGACTCTCTATATTTTGTTGAGCATTCTTTTAACCTGTATGAGATTTTCTGTTTCTTGACAGGTGGAACACAGGCATATGTTGCCCAAGGCTGCATACGAGCATGTAAGATCTATCAGGCCCAGGGTACTTTTGGTCTCTTCGCAATGGCAGGTAAGGTTGATATAGCTTTCATGTACATCCTTCATTTTAATTCAATGTAACCTTTCTATGGATTGCATCACACACACACGTGTTACATTTATTCTCTGCCAAGGAATCTGGACAAAGAAGAGCTAGAAATTTCAAGCTTCACTCTAGATCAAATGACTTGGATTGAGAGCGGACTCACGATTTACCGACTTGGATTTTGACCCTGTACCTTTTGTTCATGGAACTAACTGTGATCTGTCAATCTGCCATTTTATTTTCATTGCTTTGAAGTACAGTTGTCGTTTTATTGGTTTGATGGTTCCTTTTATTGCCAATCTGTCATTCAATAACGCTTGGGTTTCTCCTAAAATCATTCCACGTTAATCCCTTTATACAGGCTGTTCAAGACTACTATCTTCTCAAGGTGAAAAAAACTAGTGTCCCTGGCTGTACGGTAACTCAAAAGGCTTTAGATCTTCCGATCAGAGGGGACGAGAAACAGGACACAGCATCCTTTGATGATGGATCTGCTGTGTTGGTAACAGAATCTGAACTTGACGGATATGATGCTAGCTGTGACTCGGGTTTAGTGGGTAATGATATGTTGGCAGAGCATGGCCTGGCTTGTAAGGTTCAGTTTGCTAGCCGGGCAGCTATTTCCAGACTTTCATGCTTGTGGCTTGGGTGCCACCCTGACCAGAAATCTTCAATGAAGAAACCAGGAAGCTCCATCGGGGGTAATCAGTTGAGTAGCATAGCTGCAGACATCCAGGTTTATTGAGATGTCGAAATCTACCGGGAGTGTAATTTAGGAGTTCCCTTTTTTTTCCCATAAAACACAACACAAGTGATGGTATCCTTCTCTGTTTCCCCTAGTGTTGTGATTTTTCCTAGTTTGAGGTCATGTGCAGAGTGGAGGACATGAAGAAGTATAGCATCCCTTTGTTCCTCCGCCTGAGATGTGTGCTACTGCGAGGAAGGTGGGTTGTTTTCAATCTTTTCAGAGTAGCAAAGAAATGGCTGGTACTGATGGTCATGGGTACTGTTTCTCTTATCAAAGTCCGTGACGCAAGTTCTGTCCTTTTGAAGGAAAAATTTTCCAGATTGTAAACGTACATGATCAGATTTGCTTTTCGTTGGAACTTTTGAACGAACTGGATTCTCTTCCCCTCTTTTTGATCCGTGTCACAGCTTTTGTGTACGTGCGCAAATTTGTAAGACACTATTTGCTATGTAATTTTGGGGGTGATTTGTCTCAAAAAGCATGTTTTCTTAATTGATTTCTATGTTCCAGATCATTTCAAAAACATCCAAAATATATTTTTAAAGGAAATCACTTTTAATCTAAATATATTATTAAACATTACAAAAAGCTAATATAAAATATATTATCCTCGTTGATTTGTTTTTGCGTTTGTCATAATATAACAAAAGGTGTTGAATAAAATTATATTTTTTTATTGAGAAAAGGTTTTTTTTATTTCTCTTGCCTATAGCGAATCACAAGTCACTTGCTAGTATATTAAATTTAATGTTTCTTAGCTTTGTAAACTCCTTTGAGGTTGTCTTTATTAATGTTTCGGAGTAAAAATGATAAATATTTATTATTAAAAAATTGAATCATATTTAGTTAAAAAGGTTGAAAAGATAAAGATAAAAAAACTATTTTTTGTAATAATTTTAGAATGAATTTATATGTTTTTAAAAATGTAAAATATAAAAAAATATGTTTATACTATCAACGAGTTATATAGGTAAAAAGAGTCGGTGAAATAAGGAATGGTAATACTTGGACAGTCACAGTCCAATTCCTGTCTTATATCATATCCAGACTTTAACATATAGAAGAGAAAAGTAATTATAGTGAGAAGAAATTCATGGATGAATCAAATCCAATAGTTTAGCATCTCTGAACCTTTATTGTAATTCTCAGATCTGATTCGGAGTTTAACTGGACAAAAGACTTGGATCAATCCTTTAATTTAATGAAAAACTAAAACAATGGTGTTTCGATTTTTATTTTTTTAATCTCAACAAGTCAACTAGATGAACTATACCTTCTTATTTAGTTTAATTTTACTATGACCCCTTCCTTGCTAGTCTTCCTGTGTTAGTACACTCTAAACAGAAGCAATCATGAGCGGTGAAAGTGACTAGTTGCTCACATGGAGTGAACTATACCTTTCTTTTTGGACATAATTTGCTGAGAGCTGATAAATTTGTGCCTCTGACAAGTTGAGCATGTGTGGAAGCTAAGAAAAGTTGCATTTTGCGGTAATTTGAGGCTACAATTTAAGAAGTTAGGTATATTATACTTTCGCCCCTTGGCAACCATGCTAGGATTTTTTTTGTTTCGTTTCCCTGTTCCTATATTGATACTTGTGCTTTTTTTATTTGAACTTTGTGCAGACAGAAACCTCGTAACATGTCCTGCTTGGGAGGTCTCTTTTCTTCTAAGAAAATAGGTGACATACGTGCCATTTAGATAGCAGGTGCGATGCCATCCACTTATCAAAATCACTTTATGTTGTGTTAGAAGAACTGTCATGTTCCTTTTCTTCGAAAGAAAGAAAAAATTTATGATCCGTGCATAAACGCGGGTGAAATTGCTTGTTTCTACAAAAATCTTGTTCACTGTCGAGCTTTAATTTAGTTTAGAATCTTTGCAGGTGAATTTCCACTATGTTGGCTATACTGACTCAGATCGTCGCATTGCAGCACCTACTTGCAGGGTTCTCCTGTGAAAATCCTCGTGGGCACCAATGCACTGATTCCAAGCGAACAGACTACATCCAGACTTCAGTACAATCGTGTGCCTTCTATCCAGACCTGCTTGCCTTCTTTTCAAACTAAAAGCTGTAAGCAATAGAGGTAGTTAACAAGGGAACTTAAGCAGGATTTGAGGAAGGAATTCGAGACTTGAGACCTGGGGGGAAGAGAGATAATCATTCCTCAAGAACTTGGGCCACTGGCTAGTTTCTCGAATTCCCTGCTTCCTTCTCTTTCTGCACAATTCAGTATCTCTTTATCCAACATCACCCGACTTCCCTTTCCTTAATCATGATTTCTTCCTTTTTATTGATTATATGCAACTGGGTCCTGTGGAAATATTTCCTGAGGGGTTTTAGGATAAGATAGAGAGAGAGAAAAGTAAGAAAAGAGAACCAATATGCTAGTTATTGCTTCGCAGTTCCAGGCATATATAGTGACACTTGTGATGCTTCTATTCTGTTTTCCTGCCTTTGAGGCTGAGGCCAAGACTCCCATAAAATGCCATCCATATCCCTTTTACTCTTTCCATGGTTGCTTCATCTTCATGTTAACTGCCTATGCAGTATGGTCAATAACAGTTGCGGGGAAGACTTTCAAACTATTATTTTCCTGGATTTAGAAGATTTCTCAGTAGAACAATAAAAAATTCAATCAAGTACCATTCTTATCTTTCCTTCCCAAAAAAGGAAAGGACGGTTAATAAGTTTAAACTTATTGCCAACTATCCAGATCATGGGTGCTTCACTGGTAAGAATATTTTTTGTCTAGTTCCAAATGTTCATGCCCCGGTTCTTTATTTATAAGAATTTGTTGATTACCTAATCATTTGTACAGGTTGGACCTTCTACATTTTTCAGCTCAAAACAGCTCGAAGTTTTTGACGTGGAATTCCTCAATTTTAAGGACTGTCAAAGGAAGACTACAGGATTTTACTCTGATGTCGTGTGCGACTGACAGGCTTTTGTTAAGCCTTTAAAAGGCAATTTTGTCGGAACATTATCGCGCTAAAAGTTTATTCCTACTACGTGGATTTTTACCTTGTCTAAGAAAGGCCATATTGAAAATTAGCATTTGAGAAAGTCGGAATTTTAATTTTATACGATGACTCTAAATTATCAACAATCTTCAGGAATATCATTATTTGCTATTTAGTAGTTGAAGTTTTATAAACCCTTAAGATTTTTGGCTTAGATGATAAATGGTTTTGGTTTTCATGCAACTATCCCGGATTCGAAACCAAGTCTAGATGTGAGAAAGAATTTTCTCGTTAATACACCCTGAATGTTGCTTTGAGGTTCTAGTTTCAATGGGACAAAATTTGGCCCGATGATTTAGTGACTTACAAAATGTTTTCTTCAATAGTTTTTCTCCATACTCAGTAGTCTTTCTACGTCAACTGCTGTCAGGAGTCGGTTTTTCCTGCTTTAATTAGGGTTGGCTGCTTACAAAACCAGCACTCTTTTCTTCAATAGAATTTGAAATCAGCATGCGTTGGCCAGTGGAGGAAGATGCCACAGGCAGGAAGGAGGACTTCGGCACCGGGCCACACTCTGTTCTAATGATGAGCGTCAGAGGGCATTCGATCTACTCTGCGACATGGTTGTGGAGAATGTTAGGGAGATGTGGACTGTGGAACGGAAAACTGGTAAAGGCAAGGAGAGCTCGAGCACTTAACAGAGAGATGTTCAACGGCAAGATGTTCCTCCTGGGGATTCTGTTATTTTCATCCTTCAATCCCGAGACTCGCGTGATATTTTTATGCATGGGATTTCTCTACATAAAGAAAATAAGGCTGTTCGGAAAGTGGGGAAAGAGGGAAAGAAAGCAAGAAGGAATAATATGTTCTGAAAATACAAGGGAGCCATGCCTTAAGGTCAGTGATTTGAATCGATGAAATAAATCAATAAGATGCAGGTGAAAATTGCCAAGTAGTGCGATACTGCACTTTTATATTGCCATGTTCTGAAAAAATCTCAAGGGTTTTGATAAATAAAAATGTCATTTGTATAAATAGCCATAGCTTAGTTACATTGGTAAATACAAGAGAATAAATGCTACAACAGACAACAAGGCATATTAAGATGGAACTATCTAGTTGGTTCTGTAGGAGCTCTCTGATAAATAATTGACTCATCCGAACCTGGTTTGGCATGATACTGCCCGTAGAATGCATATATTCCAACCATGATAATGCTCAGGACAACAAACCTCACCCAGGCTTCGTGGTGCAACTGCATAAAGGAAAGTTGGCCATCATTAACTAGCTTTTCTATAAGAACAGATTAATTTCAGAGGTTGGCAATTTGTAAGGAGACATTGCTTGTAAAAATGATTCTCTAAAAGTGCACCTGAGCAAACAGGAACATGTTGAAGTAGACGCAAACAGCTGGCACAATGGGAACCCCAGGACACGAAAACCCTGGAGGGTTGGTGTAAGTCTGAGAAAAATAAACAGAAGGCATTACAGGCCATTCAAAAATTCACAGGACTGGAGAAAATCATGAAGAAGATGGAAGCCAGCCTCATAAAACTGGTAAATACACAGCCTACATTAGGCAGGAGAGGCCTTGCTGGCCCTTTAAAAAAAAGGTCGGGCAAACACCATTATGTAACTCAACAGTTAACCCTTTAAATAGATTAAAATCCCAACAAAAGAAAACTCAACAGGAAAATCAAAAGAGGAATATTGGTTTGATGAAATGCAACTAGTGCTCCAGGAATGTTATCAGGCATCAAGAAATTCTAGTTCCAAAATGTCCTTACGCACAGTCTAGGCTACAGAAGGGCATAATGAATCAACAAAAAAGATGCCCACATTCCAAAGCCAGCAGAGTTCTCAAGTATTATTTGATTCGTTTCGCCAATTACCTCTACAACTAAGAATCAGTGTTCCGTGTGTGAAAAGAAAACAAATAAAGTTCTCATAAAAAAAAAAAACCCACAATTTAAAGACCACCCCAAAGACACCAGGACTCACCACCATCTAAATCATAGCATGTCCGTTGATAACAACATTTCATCAATGTAGAACAGAAGAAACACAAATTTAATCTCCACACATTAGGACAATATTATCAGATTTTTACCCTCATAATAATCACTTTATCATTATCATAAAGTGCGGAACAAGTAAGAAGAAACATTCCACAAAAGGCACAATATAATACTCACTTGGCGGCAACAAAGAGCAGCAGTAGCAAGTATAGCTATAACAACTGCCACGACCAGAAAAATAAATGAAGCACTAAAACGGTAGAAGAGTCCAGTGGCAAAACCACAGCAGGCAACTGCGACAATGCAAAGAACCCCTTCCCTCCATGCTGAAGTCCATCTTGAAGAAAATTGACTCGCTGTCTTATCCTTCCAGCGAAGGGCTAGGACACATGCTGAAACAACAGAATAACCTGTCTGCAACCAGTCTAATGCAATGTCAGGTGCGTATAACCCACTAATAAAAATCAAAGCACTCAAGCACTACCGTTGACAAGAAGCGTGAAACCTTGAAAATCAAAATGCTGAAGCACCACTAATGACAACAAGCATGAAATTTTAAGAATTCATTTCCTGCCTAAACACAAACACGTCACAGCATGCCATGTCATTTGTGATTAGATTCAATATTGCAGGAACTGGCAGGCACGCTGCAATGTGATTGGTAAGTGCAGGTGGCAGTTTTAGAAAATAGATAGCAACTGCATCTTAAACAGGTTGCAGGATTTTATTCACACCTGAATTCTAATAGAGAAGAAGATCAGAACAACATACCAATGCACCAACTGACAGAATGTGTGAGAGCACGTGCACATTAAACAACCCTCCCAGAATGCCAGCAACAATACCAACCCAGACTTGAGAATGAATAGGAGTATGACGTGTGGGGTGCACTTTAGAAAATAAAGAAGGCAGTAAACCATCCCTTCCAAGACCCAGATATAATCGAGACTGTTTATGAGAAACAAGCTGTCACTCACAATTGCACAGCTAAGAAGGCATATAATTATATGCAAGGTTGATGTGTGTCACCTGAACATAAAGGCCAACTAAAAGGGTCGTTGTAAGTCCAGCAACAGCACCTATGCTGATTAAAATAGAAACATATTTCAAGCCCTTAGAGGTGAAAGCCTCAGCCAATGGAGCATCTTCCCCAAGGAGATAGTAAGGCACCATCCCAGTGAGCACCAAACAGACTCCAATATAAAGTGCAATGCATATGACAAGACTTCCAATGATGCCTAGCGGCAGGTCCCGCTGACCAAACAAATTAGGAAAACAAAAATTACACAATCAGATTACATACAAGATTCTTAAAATCATGATTGGATTTTTTTTTCATGATCTAATATATTTAGCACCAAATCAACAGAACATGCCTGTGGTCTCCTAGATTCTTCAGCTGAATTTGCAACTGCATCAAACCCAACATATGCAAAGAACACTACAGTGGATCCGGTTAATATTTCCTTAACACCATGTGGAGCAAAAGGTGACCAGTTCGAAACATCAACCTCAAAAGCACCCACAAAGATTACAATGATAACAATGACAACCTGTACCAAAGCCAAACTAAGTCATTACATCTATTCTAATCTCACATCCTTCATCAACATTTGCACACAATATTCAACAATAACTCTGTGCAAGTATACATACCTTTAATACAGTCATGAAAGAGTTCACAATCGAAGATTCTCCAACACCCAAGCACAAGATTACAGTCAAAAGAGCAAGTAAAAATGGCGCCAACAAATTTATGGAAAGAGTTCCTCCGAGGAACTCTTCACCACCATGTCCAATCCAACTCGGAATATTATCTTTAAAAACAGGGAACATCTCTAAAATCGTAACAACATAACTTGCTAAGCTTCTTGCTATACTAGCTGCCCCAATGTGATAATCAATCATCAATTGCCCAAAAACAAGAAAAGCGGTAAGCTCATTGAAAGCTGAGTATGCGTACAGGTATGCTCCTCCAACAACAGCAGGTAAACGTGAAGCCAACTCTGCGTAACACAGTGCATTCAACACACACGATAACCCAGCTAGTATAAAACTCACTGTTACCCCTGCATTGCAACATACCAAGAACACAATTAATAAGAACAATTCAACAGAAGCATAAATCAAGCAATTCTATCGATCAAGACAATCAATTTGGATAGAATTTAGTAAATCAAATTGGACAGGACAACTCCACTTGTACTAATATTTGATGTGCCAATGGGACATAATAAAAAAGAAAAATCTTTTTCACCTCCCAGTACACAGCCCCCCCCCCCCCCCCCCCCCCCCCCCCCCCCCCCCCCCGGCACATCCTTGTCATCTCCATCAGCTAAGTGCGTTTGGTGAAACAACGAACGAAACTAGAGAAGACATGACAAGATGGGACAGGACCTTATCAGAGAACAACGTATCAAACCTGGCACGGGGCCAAACACAAGTACAACTGTAATCGGCCTGCACAATCCTATCCAATTTCACATACCAATGCTACCCATGTACTCAATCCATTGTAAGAGCATAAAAAATTAAATTTATCGGCTCAGCTTGTGAGTCAATCGGAATTAACTCCTCCCCCGGTCAAACTTAAGGTCTATCTATCTAAACACCAAACTAACTCAAGTTCTTCATCGATCGGACCTGAAGAAAATTATATATATGTATTATATACACAAGAAAACTCATTCTCGCTACTGTATAGCATTACTAATTTTGTATCGAATAAAAATCATGTGACACACGTGCTTAAAAAAAAAAAAAAGTATGATGTTAGATTGAAGTGGAGAATACAGACCGGGGCCAGCGTCGCGGGCGACGGTCCCGGTGACAACAAAGATGCCGGCGCCGATGGAGGCACCAACGCCAAGGAGGATGAGATCGAGGAGGCCGAGGCGACGGACGAGGGCATCGGTGGAATTACGAGAGACGAGGATGGTGTCAAGTGGAGAATTTATAGGTTTGGTCCTGAGAGCTGAGGAGCAGAAGTGAGAAAACCAGGAGGAGGACGAGGAGGAGGAGGAGGAGGAAGGAGTTTTCTGGCCCCCCATTGATCATAAGATTCTTTTTTTCTTTTTTCCCTCTATCAGGATCTCATAAATCATAGCGACTATCCGTCGATACGGTGCTGCGGATTGGATGCATATTTGGTTTGTTAATGATAATTTTTGTGCTATGCGTCATGGATGATGTTTTTTTTTTTTTTTTTTTTCAATCTCTCTTTTCCATTTCAATTCATATTTGGCCAAATCTCTATTCTTTACTGCTCTCCTTTTTCTTCGTTCATCTGAAAAAAACTTCAGTCTTATTTTTTTTAGGTGGTGAGTTGATCTCTTTGCAACGCTGTTTTATTTCATGTTGGTGTAAGACTGCCTTCTGAATATATATTAGTGTACAAGTTTGGATGGTTTTTTTAAGAAATAAATAAAAGAAAGGATACAGAGCTCAAATTAACTTGAGGTCCACCACCGTTAATTTTTTATTGTTGTTTTTATATTTTATAAATATTTTAAAAAAATAAAAAATTTTACTTTAAATTAAAAAAATTAATATTTTTAATTTTTACTTTAAATTAAAAATT